CATTACATTACTTTACCTACAACCAGGTAACAATGTGTGCTACTAGAGAACATAAATAATGATACAAAAACAGAGATAATTTGGAATAGCGGACTAAGATCACCAATTCATGAATATGAATCAACGCCGAGAAAGATAAAAGCTAAAATAACGATGGCATACGCTTTCATCTCTTCAAAAATCAAATATGTATACATATAATCTAGGATAGTCACATCATGAGGGAAGAAAAAGAGAAATAGTAATAAACAAGACAAAGTAAGAAATCTCTGCACCGTTAAGTACACGCAACTATTATGTGACTTATATAGATGAATTGTGAAATTTTATACAGCCAGGGATTTGGAACCAGTATACAAGAATGCAGAGCCAATATTTCGAGCAGATAATCCTAATAAATACAGTACCTGGAAGACATATGATACAGATTAAAAGGCATCCTAGTAAATGCTTGCTTGCACTTAGACATGATTTATTTTGAATGCAATCAATGCTGCACAATAAGGTCATTCATGTCTGGACCAAGAACAGCTCCATCCTGCATTTCTCCATCTTCTGGCTCTATCATTGCCTCCTCTTCAATATCGTTGTCTAAAACTTGGTCTTCTTCGTCGTCATATACAACAATATTCCACTCTTCTGTGGGGACATCTGGCTTGATTTCATTCGGGTCATCAAGCTCAATACCAGGAGGCAGTTGAGCTTGTACACGCTCACGATCAAAAGCTTCATCCTCTTGGACAACGAAATCTGTATCATAATCCTTATACCACGCTGGAAGACGACGAGCACGAACTTGTCGTCGAGTAGCCAGTGCCGAAGCAGCTGCGCTGACAGCCAAGGTGTGCTGCGAAGGTGGACGCCCAGGACCACGTTTACCAGTGATGGAATTTCCGAGAGGAGAATATTCATCTTTTATTCTACGAGATTTAATAAGCGTGATTGTACGACGAGTAACGTCTAGTCGGAGGAAAAAGGAAATAACAAAACGTTAGTGATAGAATAATTAGTAAGACGAAAAGCCTAGTGATTAAAATGCAACACAATGGTGAGGAAAAGAATCATGAATAACCTACTATCTTCTCCTTCGACTGGGGCCAAGTCATCGTCATAATCATCATCCTCCACGTCGTAGTCATCATCTCCATCATCCATGTTTCCTATGAAATCATCTTCCGCATACATATCAGAAAGCCTTCCTCTTCTTGAAATGCGACCGCGCCTCCGACGGAGGGGAGGAAAACGAGGAGCGATTGTTAGCCCAATTTCCTC